CAGTGCTCTTTCAGGCGTAATTTGCTGAACTCACCATTCTTGAGGTTGAGCCTGGCTGAACCCTAGCCACGTTTTAAATCAACCAAGGCCAGCTAAGTAGATATGAATCTGCACCAGGGTGCTGGATGTTTTAAAAACAAACAAGATAACATTGAATTGACAGGCGAAACCAGACATGGGTTGCAGCAGGTTCTGACCAGTTCTGGAAAACCGGTAGTGGAAATTTTGAGTAGTTAGGAGAACCGGTAGTAAAAATTCTGACTGGCCCCCACCCCCATCTATTCTCTGCCTCCTGAGTCTCAGCTGATCAGGAGGAAATGGGGATTTTGCAGTAACTTTCCCCTGGATTGGGGAGGGAATGTAGGTTTTGCAGTATCCTTCCCACGGAGTGTGGTGGGAATGGAGGTTTTACAGTATCCTTTCCCTGCCACGCCCACCAAGCCACACCCACAGAACCGGTAGTACAAATTTTTGAAACCCATCACTGGGCGAAACATACGAGAATACATAAGGAAGGCCATCCTACTTTAGGATAAAGCATAGATATCTCTGAGAAAGGATTTAGGAAAGAGGAAGAAGAAGGTGATTCTAATTTTGCTGGGGTGAAGGAGGGAAAAACAAAATGCTTTTGTGCTTCTTTAACTCTGGTTTGCTGGCTGCTCATAATTTGGAAGTTCATCAGTCTGGAGAACAACACCTTATCTTAAATGTATTACTTGGATGGAATCTCCATACAGGTAGTCCTCAACTTACAACCATTTGTTTAGTAACTGATCAAAGTCACAATGGCTCTGAAAAAAGTGATGACTGTTTTTCACACTTATGACTGTTGCAGTCACATGATTGTGCAAAATTTGGACTCTTGGCAACTGGCATGTATTCATGACTGTCGCAGTGTCCTGGGGTCATGTGATCAGCTTTTGCGACCTTCTGACAAGCAAAGTCAATGGGGAAGCCAGATTCATTTAATGACTTCAGCGATTCACTTAACAATTGTGACAAGGTTGTAAAATGGAGTAAAACTCGCTTAATAACTGTCTTGCTTAGCAACAGAAATTTTGGGCTCAATTGTGGTCGTAAGTCGAGGTCTACCTGTAGTTTTCAACGAAATGTGTCTGCACAGACACAACTAGAGATGACATCAAAAGTTCTTGCTTAGAAATAGAGCATGTTTTAAAAGATACTAAGATATCATTATGATGTTATGTTTATTTTTCATGTTGTCTATTGTCTTGCTGTTTTATAATATTCATTTTAATTCTTCATAATATTGTTTTATCAGATTGTAAGTTGTTTTTTATTTTTTTTTATTTCGTGTATCTTTTTGTAGCTCCTTCTCCAGCTTTTTATACTCCTCTTCTAACTTTTTTTGTCTGTCTTTTCTTTTTATTCTTTTTTCCCAAATATGTCATTACCAGCCCTCTAATATATGCTTTCACTGTATCCCATACATTTTGGAGTGATGTATCTTTTTTTTTTTGTTTACTTGAAAGAAAAAGAACATCTCCTTTTCCATAAATTGTTGAAATTCTTTTTCCTGTAATATTGTCTGGTTGAAAGTCCATCTTGACCTTTTCTTTTGACCTTTTCATATATTTGTAATCGGATTGTGGTCTGCCCATACATTTTTATCAGATTGTAAATTGCGTGACTATGAGATGGGTGGCATATATATTTAATAAATAAAATAAATGAGACTCAGATATTCAGGCTTCATTCCCTTCCTACCTACTTTGCCATTCACTTCGAGCACTTGTTGTTTCTTTTGGTACCTTGCCAACTATTTTCAATTAAGTAGTCTTCTTACCAGAACGGAATCGACCTTTAGTATGGAGCCATCAAATCAAACAGCCTTTAATCATGATCAAGAGCTGCGGTGGCACTGTGGTTAGAGTGCATTACTGCAGGCTACTTCTGCTGACTGCCGGCTGCCTGCAATTTGGCAGTTCGAATCTCACCAGACTCAAGGTTGACTTAGCCTTCCATCCTTCCAAGGTGGATAAAATGAGGACCCAGATTATTGAGGGCAATATCCTGTAAACCACTTAGAGAGGTCTGGAAAGCACTGTGAAGTGGTATATAAATCTAAGTGCTATTCCTATTGCTATCAAAAATCCTAAAGGCCCACCCCTTACTTAGAAAACAATATATTTTCTCTAAAAAGTTATTAAATATGTCTGTATTTTGATCACATGTGCCTGGTTATCAAAATTAGACATTCCTCACTCTCTCTCTCTCGTTACTTTTTAGGGGCAGATTCTGGACCTGGCGACCTGTCAGGGTCTCCTTCTATCTGATGTTGGATGAGAATTATAGGGCAGCAAGATAGGAAAGATTGGGCTAAGTCAGTTCCTAGATCTAAAATAACCCACCAGGGAGAGGAACCATGTCTTAGAACATAGAATCAAGAGGCTGGAAGGGACTTTGGAGGTCTTCTACTCAACTCTCTGCTCACAGTAGGAGTTTCATACCATCCCAGTCAAATGGTTGTCGTCTATTTTTGAAAACCTTCCATAACGGGGTACCCATAACTTCAGGAAGCAAGCTACTCAATTGATTGATTGTTCTCACTGTCAGAAAATTTCTTCTTACTTGGATCGCTCTTTAATAAGCTTACATCCATTACTTCTTGTCCTGCCCTATGGTTCCCTAGAGAATAAGTCAATCCCCTTTTCTTTGTGACAGCCCCTCAAGTATGGGAAGACTGCCCCCTTTCCCCCCCCCCACTCAATCCTTCTCTTCGATATGCTGGACGTACCTAGTTCCCTCATTTCGACAATGCTCCCTTTTGAGATTCTTTCTCCAACTCATCCCTGCCGTAAACACAAATAAATGTTTGGAAGAACTGAAACCCATCCAAAAAAACAGCCCTGCCTTGACCCTTCTCCAAATCTTCCCTCCATGCCTCCCAAGATGTCAGGAATCCATGAATCAAAGCTTTAAGAATCTCTACCAAGAACTGGGATTCCCACAGAGCTAATAATTATCCATTTCTACCCTACTGGGAAGGCATGCTATCAACTCTCAACCTCACATCTTCTCGGAAGAACCAGTATTGCAATGTTAAAGTCCTCACTATCGCCTTGGCAGTTTGGCATCTAACAGAGGACAGATTCCTATTGTTCCAGTGTCACAAAGCTCTGTTTTAATATTTTACAACCAGTGCTGGATGGCTGAATAGGCATAAAGCTAATGAGAAACTACAGATAAGTAAGTTGGTCTACCAGCCTGATGCCCTTTCGAGAAAGCTGGCTTTTCATTTATTACTTTGAGGGGTGGGGGTTAGAAAGATTTAGCCACTTAATAAAGTGCAATGACTTTCCCCTCCTGGATTGCTTATTAGAAGATAAGCCCATTCATTGGCTCAGACAAAGAGAGGTGAGAAAAAAGGCTGAGAGATTTCAGGCAGGTTTAATTTAGGGGCATAAAAAAGATAAGGAAAGTGGTGTTACACAGAACATGTGGATGGTTATTCTCCCTTTTTCTAAGTGAAAGACTCTGGGTCGGGTCCAGCATTTTTTTTTTTTTATGACAGGATGTTTAGAAAAAAAAAATACTTTTCACATAAATAGAAAAGGACCATCAATGGCTAATTAATTCTGAAGACTGAGTTCCAAAGATAAATTTGTCTTGAAGTTGCCTGGGAATCTCATGACTTCTTGGGTTTTACCGGATCCGTCTTTTTCCTCCTTAAGACAGCCATGCGTGGTCCTACCAAAAAATGCTCTCTATTGTGATTGTGTTGGCGAAGAGCTTTGTGGTCTTCACAACTGGTCGGAGGAGAACACAGCAGAGACCCAAGTCCAAAATAGGAGAGAAGTGAGGATACTGAAGCAACAGTTATGTAATGTTGACAATAGAGGAAAAAAAGAATCCCACCCTTGATGGTTGAGGTGCCACAAAGGGCAGCAACCGTTTTTGCTTAAGGAAAGGGGGAAAAACACGGGGGAGAAAGAACATAGAATAAATAAGGGCTGGAAGAAGAAAGCCAGGGAAGTTTTTCCTGGCTTCTACCGTAAAGGCAGTTGACTTCACCTTGCAAAAATTATTAATCTTTTTTACCATCCAGCCTTTTTCTCTCTCTATTATGTTTCTGAGTAATAGGAATTACTTTCTGTTAAAAAAAAAAAAGCATTCTACTGCTGGTACTGTTAGGGAGGTGGGAAACGGGACAGGAAGTAGAAAAACACTGTGACAGGCTTAGAGTTACTTACTCTCTGCCAAATGCTGAAAGCAAGTTACCAGGATGAAGAACCCCCGGCTCAGATCGCTCAAATCCCAACACTTATATGTGAAAATACATGCCTTAGAAAACTGAATATCCCACGAAAAAAAAGGAATTAAAGCAAAACTTTGCACCAAGACAAATTCCTTGTGTGTCCAATCACACTTGGCCAATAAAGAATTCTATTCTATTCTATTCTATTCTATTCTATTCTATTCTATTCTAATCCCCTATCCCTATCCCTATCCCTATCCCTATCCCATTCTATTCTATTCTATTCTAACAGGAAGGGCCAGAACACAAGGCACCGATTCCCGGATCCTCCCTGTGATGGATCGGAGATTTACCTTTCCAGAGCAAGGGAAGAGTTTGGAAAGCATCACCTTACAAGGGCCGGAGGAGCATTTTTATTTATTTTTATTTTTTGGCAGCCCAGATCTCCCGCTCCAGATGGCCGCAGAGCCAGGCGCGGAGTCCGCGGCGCGTTGCGCAACGCCCCCCTGGCCGCCCGCCGATACCTGCACCCCGGACCCGGCTCGGATCGCCCCAGGACGCAGGGCGGCTGGAAGGCGCAACCTCTCCTCCGGCTCTCCGCAGCCTCGCCCGCTCCTCCCTCCCTTCCCGTCGGGAGAAACTTTGGCGCCGCGCAGTGCCCCCCCCCCCCGCAGCCCCGAAGGCTCCTCCGCCGCCCCGCTGGAGGGACGGGAAGAGAGCGCGGGGACCCGAGTTCTCCAGCATCCCGATCCCCACGGTGGGACGCGCAAGCGATGCTCACCTCTCCGGATCCCTCCAAACCCGGCCAAAGTCGGTGAGGCGGGAGGCGCGCCCCGCTCTACTCCGGAGCTCCTGGCTTCGCTGTTGCAATCCCGTTTCTCCGCCGCTCTCGGAATCGCGGGGAGGAATAAAAACCCGCACAAACACAGACACGCGCGCGCTCGCACGCTCTCTCTCTCTCTCACACACACACACACAAATCGGCGCTTAACTCTTCCTCCTCCAGGCGCCGCGCGCTCGGGACGAGCGGCTGCTTTGCAAAGTCGGAGGCCTGGAGAAAGCCCAGGAAAACTGCCGGCCCCGGTTTTAACAAACCGAAAGGGCAACCGCGGACGCTCTCTGGAAAATTTGGAACTTTCTCAAAGGCTTCCGTGTTTCATTCGTGGTGCAGCTTGGAAGTTACTGCTGTATGTTTAGCGCGCGGGGGGGGGGGGGAATACTTTTTTTTTAAATTTATTTTTATATGCCGCCCTTCTCCGGAGACTCAGGGCGGCTTACAATGCGTTAAGCAATAGCCTTCATACTTTTGTATATTTTATACAAAGTCAGCTTATCGCCCCCACAAACCGGGTCCTCATTTTACCCACCTTAGAAAGGATGGAAGGCTGAGTCGACCTTGAGCCTGGTGAGAATTGAACTCGCGGTAATTGCAGGCAGCTGGATGTTAAATGCTGCCTTAGTAGGAGGCATTAGCCTCCTATGCCACTCAGGCTCCCTATACTGAGTCCCCATAAGGAACCATAACACCCAATGCAAGAGGAGTCAGTCAATATAGGCGGGTTAAGATCATCTGTGGTATTGACTTGAGTTTACACAAAACACTAAGCCACATTAGTGGCGCCTGGAGTTACGATTTCTAAACCCATGGTGTACGGTTTAGTGCAGGTGTCTGCAACCTTAAATACTCAAAGAGCCATTTGGACCCTTTTCCCACAGAAAACACCGGGAGCCGCAAAACCTGGGTAGGCGTGGCCAACTCCATGTCACTCACTTCCATCAGTCACATGACACCCCCCAGCCACACCTACTCAGCTAGTCATTAGGGCAGAGAACCAGTTATTAAAAAACACCGGGAACCACAAAATCCTTTTGACATCTCTCTCTCTCCCCTCCCTCCCCCCCCCCTCTCTGTGTCTCTCTCCCCCTCTCTCTGTATCTGCCCTGGCCACTTCTCCATCCCCCACCGTTGCCCTTACCTTCTTAGGTGAGGAGTGACTGGGAGGGAAGGGCGAGTGGCAGGGCCAGCCAGTGGTGGGATCACCTGACAGGGAGCCACAGCAGAGGGCCCAAAGAGCCGCATGCGGCTCCGGAGCCGCAGGTTGCTGACTCCTGGTTTAGTGTAATGCCAACCCAACCCTGAATGGTTTATTCATAGGTTAATCATGGCTGAGCAGATATGTATCAGGATAATTAAACACATTTTAATATGAAGTCAAAATACTTTGTCAATGGATAGCATGTGTACGTTTTATAGGATGTTTGGTCTGGCTTTTTGGCTTGGCTTGGGCCTTTGAGGTTGTTCCTCAATTCTATGCCAATTTCCCCAGAGAGAATTTTAAATCTTTCATATTTAGCATACAGCATCAGTGTTTTACTTGGGCCAGCCTTCCCAATCTCATCATCTCTGGACATCTTAAGTCTACAGTCCTGATCATCTCCTCCTGCTAGGGGATTTGGGATACAAACACAGTAGCTGTTGGCTCAGGATTGTGGCTACAATAGCTCCGCACATCTGGAGAAGGCCAAGAATGAAATTGATTGAAGCTATATCTGTATCACTGCAGAAAGTTGTCATATTGGGAAAAGTTAATCAGTAAAAGGAAACCAGGCCATGAAAGAACACGATGGCTGGACATCATCAAAGCTCACATCACCCAGAGCATAGAAAAACCTCAAAGAAGCAGTGCAGGATTGGAAGATGTGGAGAGGTCTGGCCTATAGAATTGCCAAGAGTTGGACATGAGTGAATGGATAATATCATCATCATGTCTGTATAGTTTCACACTCCCAAAATGTGAATTATGTAGTGCGCACAGCACTACATAATTCTACATGTCACATCAAATGTTTTTTTTTTCTCTACCTAAAATTCATCTCCATATGTGTACGTGTCCCTATAACTGTGTATCCACACAGAAGGAATCTGCATTCTACAGAAAGCAAGAGGCAGGTCTGATATACAGCAGTTTATTTTGTTTGCTTCCAGAATTGTTGAGGGTTAATCATTTGTCTTTTGCTCATAATGCTGGATATAATTTTATAGCCATAATACCCAGCTATGAGTAATTCATTCACTCTGCCAGATGCTTCTAACCTGATTTTTAAGCTGCAAACCTCTTAGCCATAACATCTTGCTCAATTTTGAGGCCTTACGATTTGTCTCCCTCCCTCATTTTCCCCCAAGTGATTGTATTTTATACTAAGATTACAAAAAATAAACAAAATGCACAAAATACAAGAAATAAAGTAGACAATGAAATACTAAAGTCAATCAGTAAGCTGCAAAAACAAACCTAAGCGAAGTTCCTGAGAAATTTTACCCTTTGAATGCCCTGAAAACATGCTAGATCTTCCAGACTATAGTACTGGAAAATCTAACATATTTTCTGTATCTCGTTAGTACAATCATCATTATTGGGTAGTGCAGTTTTTACAACACTCCTGGTGCAATCAATACATGGCCAGAACTATAGGGATCTAGTTTATTTTATTTTAAATTTTATAATTTTAGTCATGGCCAAAGGTCTTCAGCAGCAAATGCAGGGTAGTGGTGGACCTGTTATTTAGCTTTTAATTCTTTTTCTTGAGGACTAGTCTCATATGAAATAGAGTGGTAGAGGATTTTCACATACTATACAAAAATTAGCCAGCACTTCAGTCAGGTTCTATTTGGAATAGAGGAGAGATCCATCTTGTCTTTCCTCTTAGCCAGCCAACTATCTTGGGACCAATTCTGATGGATAGCTAAAGATGAGGGCTTAGCCCACTGACCTCTCCAACATCACAAAAATCCTCATTCTTCCTAACATTCTGCCTCTTTATACATGTCAGTGTGCCATATATAGTTGGTTGGGACAACCTGTCACGAAGCATATGTTTCTGTCTGTCCTGATCCTGCCTAGCCATCATCTCCACATAGGAAGACAAATGATCAAATATTAAAAACCTCATCACTTTCTAACTTTGCAGCTCCCCAACAGCGGACTGGCTCCATCTGTCATAATCTGACCTGTTGACAGAGATGAGCAACTGCCCGGGGAACTAAATCACACTGAAGATGCACAATGAATTCAAAGCTATCGCTGACCACCGTGCCTTAACTTTAGCTAATGAAGCCATTCTGAGCACCATTTGTCTGAAAAGGAAGTATTCTGTTATTAGCTGCATCAGGTGAAGAAAATTTGAAGCTTGGCTACAAAAGAGAATACAAAAAAACACAACACCCACATCTGCAAAATACTTTATTTCTAGACTCTTTCCTTGGTTTAATTTTTGAACAGACACATGAAATATAACGGGAGTTTACAAACAAAGCACCAACAGTGAACACAAATAATGCTCTTTCAACAGTGCCCAAATAAAGCTAAGATGTAGTTTACTCGGACAGTGTGCAAAGTTCAAGCACCTGCTCAAATAATATGTAATAAAAAATCAGTCCCCTGCAGATTTCTGGAAGAAAAAAACCTTCCAATTACAATCTTGAAAACATTCTATGCTTAATCCTTAATTTATCCCTTCCACTGCGATCATAATCCCCTAGTCCTTTTAATATGTGCATTGCTTGTGCCTGAAAGGTAATTTTAAAAAAAGGTTATGCAGCAGCCAATTTCGGTACCAATGAAATGTGGACGGCTGACTTTATCTGGAATAAACATTTTTTAGAAAAAATTCAATAGCATTATCAAGTCGAGCTCCACTTTTGGAATTTGCAATCCAGAAAAATCTCCTTGCCAGTTTGGAAAAGAGATTAGCTCGCCACTGTTTTTCTTCTTTTTTCACCCCCAACTTCCCCCGGACAGTTCGACTTCATCCCCAAAAACTGGAGCGTTTAAAATCAAAACAGCTTTTAAAAGGAGAAATCGGGGTGGGGAAGCCAATTCTAACTGTATCTTCCGCAAACATAAAATAGTGGCTGAAAGATTCA